TTATTCTGTGCTTGATTGAGCCTGAACAGCTTTGTCAAACCCTGTATTATGCATGACACACATTCATTTGGTCCTCTGCCTGCTCCCCCATTGCATCTGTGTGCCAGGCCCTGTCTGCTGTGCCTGATGCCTGTACGTGGCACCAAGCACTGCTGTTTGCATGCCCGCTTGTCTGCTGACCAGCTGTGCCTGGTACCGGCAAAGCTTCGCTGGAGCGCAGCAGCTGGGGAGCGTGTGCTCTTCGGCAGGGCTCCAGGTGCCAGAGCTCCTACAGTGAATGATCCCTAGTTGCAAGATAAGGACAAAGCCCCATCCCGTCCTGTGGCCAACAAGTCAAGCATGCCAAGCCATCTAGCAAAGACACGTGTCCCTGATGCATGGAGCATCTGTCTTTGGGGATCCTGGCAGTTGGGAGGGCTGGCTGCATTGGCTTTAGGTCTGGGTGAGTTTGGGCTTTGGATGTGCTCCAACACTATGACTCTTATCCCTGCCCCCCTGTCACCCCCAAATTCTTTCACTTCCTTTGGTGATAGGTTTATCATGATCATTATTGACAGACACTAAATACTGCTGCTATCCTGCAGAGGTGTGTGATAACTGAAATTCACAGCTTGTGGTGGCACAATGGCCTGTAAGAGTTTGTAGCATGACTTTCCAGTGGCTTTGCTCTCCTGTGTTAATTCCCACCCTGAATTTTCGCCAGAGGTGTGTTGGTCCAGAGCCCACCTGCTGCTCCTGCAGGAAGCTGCAGGGAAACAGCTGCGGGCTTTGTTCTGGTACAGCCTGAACTTCAGGCCAAGTACTTGTTCACTGAATGGTTGCTTAGATAGGAAGTGAAATACATAAAATTTAATGTTACTTCAGCAGCAAACTGCAATTGTCTGTGTGTGGTGGTGAGAGAAAATTTTCTCTTCGGTTGCCGTGTGTCTGCAGCCCTAGATACGCATGTTTCTCAGCAAATAGTGTAGTTCGTTTGTGATAGTCAAAGGACAGCTGGTCTTTGTAGAATTAGTTCTTGTCGTTATTAATGGCTATATTAAAAAGGTGACTATTTGTTTAGGGTTTTGATTTTGTTAACTCATTATTTACAAACCAACAACGCTGATTTCTATTCCTTGCTGCAGGAGGACCTTCTGTAGGAGGATACCTTCTTTTAATGCTAAAGAGAACTAACAAATTCATAAAGTGGATAATATGTAAAATATATTGGGAAAATATAAATCCAATATTAATTACCACTATTTCTCACCAACATATTTGTTTCTAGGCTGAAGACCAAGAGTTAGCAGTAGTCTTGGTTTGGTTTTATCATGATTTAGGATACCCATGTCAGTTTTCATGAAGGAAAACTGCCACTGAACATCTGAATTTTTTTTTTTTTTCCAAAATTAGATTCTGATTCAGGTACGTTCAGGATTTGCAATAATAAGCAGGTTTGAACTTCACTATTATCCCCAAGTTGGGATCTTGCTTTTTTTGTGTTTCTTAGAGGTGAATGGAAAAGATGAAGTGTTTTTTAGTGCCATAATCTTTCTGGAAGTAACTATTTCTCTATCAGCCTAATATTCCCTGGCTGCTGGCCTGACAACTGTAGCTGGTCTGTCCTTGAACAATTCACACATTCCCAGGCTGTTAAAAAGCGCTTACATTTTCAAACTAACAAGAGACAGAACGTATACTTATATTTTTCCTCAAGAAACCAAATAAATTTCAATCCAGACAGAGAAATGTACAGAATTTGCATCAAATAAGTGGGGAAAGGGCCTGTTTTCTGACAGTGAATGTTTCTGCTCAAGTATTTGCACTGGATTATAAGGAAGCTTTGGTTAAGCAGATTAAATAGACAAAAGCAGTGAAACTTCAAAGGCTGACCAAATGTGCTGAGGTTTTATTTCCCTGATCTGTTATGTCTGCTTTTGCCTTCCTCTCATTAGCACAGCAAAATGAGCCAGTAGAGCATAATGTGTTGTCCAATGTAGTGCCTAGAGTGACCGATTTCTAATGGGGTTTTAAGAATGGCTGCACAGCTGAGAGCTCAACTGTATTGTAGAGCTCATTTGAGACACCGAGATGCAAAAGCTTCCTTCCAAACACAGATATTGAGTCTGTGACTTAATCCAGTGGTTAATTAATTGTTTTTACATGAAGCACACAAAATAGCAAAGCAAACTCTGCTCTTTGGTAAGCTATGAGAAATAAGGTAATGCATTACTCAATGACATGGTAAAAAAAATCAAAGTGTTTTTGATATTTCTGTCTTGCATTTTCCCGTATTCTCTACAGAACAGTTCAATGTGCAGCATCCGTTACCATTTATATTTTGAAGAGGGTTTTACTACATTGTCAAATTGATTTGGACATTCGTGTCATTCCGTCAGGGAGTTATCAGAGACCACACAGGAGTCTAAAACTGGAGAGTGAGTGAATATGTTTAAAAAATATAAAATAATAATAATCCCCGAATTAATTAAAAAGTAAAAATGAAAATACATCATTTAAAAAGTAGATAAATGGTGTAACCTCTGTAACAGGTTCCTGTTAAGCTGATTTTATAACATTAAAGGTCATAAGCTAGTATGGTGTGTACAAGTACAAGTGACAACATTGGATAGAGTTGTAAAAGAGCAGTGAATTTGGGCACTGTGAAGATTTGGATTAATTTTGAAGAACTAATGTAATTCCAATTAAACAGACTATGTTTGTCTCTCTGACTATTTTGAACAGCCTGAATAGCTGTGAATTAGTAAAATATGGTTCTGAACAGGTAAATGAAATTTGTTTGATATAACCAGCGACCTCAACATACCACAGAGCCTCATGGATCTCTCTGTCTTGGGGGTTTTCTTCTGTATTTTTCTAGAACTGCACCGCCATAGCTAGAGACTGATCCTATAAAACTAAAGCATTTTCTGAGATCTATGTCTAATAATACTATTGTTAAAACTTGTCATCTTGTAAAAACCTTGCCAGAAAACGTATAAAAAGACCTTTTTTAATGTTTTGGGGAACAAAGTCTTCTTGGGTTCATTTGAAGAAATAATACATGAAGTTGAGACAGGAAATCTTACCAAGTCACACAGCCTTTAGATATTAAATTTAATACACTCTTCCTTCAAGATTTGCTACGTAATCAAGCTTGTTCTGCTAAATGCCTGAAATACATGCCTTGTGATTCTGGAAGCAACTAACACTGTAAGCTACGTGAAGGTTCATCTGATGAGTTCCTAACTCTTCCTTGCTCTGTGGTGCTATGAGCTCCTGACTAACTCCTTTTAAAATGAATCAAAGTGGTTCTGCCTTGGTAAAGCACTAAGTATATTCAAGTGGAGATTGGAGGATCTCCCAGACCACTGACTGTCAAGGCATTCTGGTTGAGGCACCTGAAAGAGGCAAAAATTTACGTGAATGGCCAGATTATGGACAGCTTTTTCATGAAGTAGAAGCTTGGGTTTGCAACTTATTTGCAATTATTTGCAATGAGGGAAAATCAAGTAGTCTACTATTATTTCAGACATAATGGAGGAAACAAAGAAGCCAGACAGGAACTAACAAGTCAAAAAACAAAGGAACTTCAGAGACAGCTCTTGCCTCACACAAGAAAAAAGATGAACTACCACACCCTCTATTCATCACACTGTAGACTGTGCAGCACTTAGGGGGCCAGTCCAGTCTCGAAGCTATTACCAGACAGGCTGACAGAGCATTCCTCTGACAGAAATCTGCAGTTAGTTGACTTAAGTCATGAAATCTGCAAGATTTTTAGTTATTTCTCTAGGAAAGACCTTTTTTTTTGTTTTTCTTTTTTTTTTGGTGGAAGGCACTCTGAAATTCTCATGTCATTTTTAGCCTTTGTCTCTGCAAAAATTTAATTTCATTTCCACAGAGGAAACTAAAGCAAAACATACAAAATTTGCTTGCTACTCGAAAAATGAATTAAGACACAATTCCCTCATTCAAACTTAGAAGAAACAGCTTTCATCAGCAAGGCAAAGTTATCGGTGTCATCAAATCGTGAGTGTTTTTTAACATTTTTCATCCCTTTAAAATTAAAAGGCTGCTTTTGAGTTCCCTTTTTAAAATTGGCTACTAAATGTTGGTTTATTATTGCAATTATGATGATACTTTGGTTGTAGAGAAGGCCTGGGGTCTGCAAGTAAGAAACTGTGGGGAACTCTGGCCTGTAGCTATTTCTGAACTCACTCCCTTCAGCGTTCCCAAACTCAACTGGACTGCACTTCTGCAGCAGACTTTCTAACTGCACTGCACAGATCTGTGATTTTGTTCTAGCTTGCCTACGCATTGTTGTTTTTAAAATGGTTGTGAGCTTGGTCTGATTTCTTGATTGCAAATGTGGTATAATAGGCCAACACAATTTTAGTTTGACTTCAGTTTACAGATATACCATGCCTGAAGAGTTTGCACTTTTTCTGTCAGATGTTCTTTCAATTTATGGAATGCCTCCTCCTGAGACATGTCTCCTGAAGAGTAAGGTGCCTTAGGGATGACTGGAACATGTTTTACAGTAGGAAAAATGATTTTGAGAAGACTGTTAATCAAGCAGGGAATGTTTTTGGGAACCAATTTCTACATACAAAGAACAATACTGAAATATTATTTGGAGTAAATACTATTAATCTATTTATGTGCAATTTATGCTGTTTTTCTGTACTGCTTTGAATCCACTTATTGTTTACTAAAAATAGGAAGAAGCAGCTGCATTTTTTGATAGACCTTGAGATAAACATTGTAACTTCAAGACCAGCAACTTTGTGCATAAAGGTTTTTATGCACATTTGAGATTTGAATTTTAGCCAAGTCATGGAAAATTCACATCACCTACGTGCTTCATGAGTAGATATTCTAGTGTTTAAAAGTGATTTAATGAATTCAGCGCTTGTTTTTAAAAGCAGTAATCTGAAAATAGAAGGCAAATGTCACTGTATCTGCCGCACAGAAATATTTCAGTAAGTTTCTTGTTTTTTCTCCCCTTTAAGGGTCAAAAGGCTTGGATAGAGAAGACCTTTTCAAAAAGAGAATGCATCTATGTAATTGCCAACAACAAAGACATTAGCAGGTAACATTTGAAAATTTTTTTTGGCCAGCTTAAAAGGTTAATACTGAAGAAACTGGACTTGATTTGGATTTAGACATGTGAAACTGTGACTCTGTTTACTCACTGCCCTTAATGGGAGATGACAGGGGAACAAAAGTGCAAGGCATGCTTGCACTCAAATCTATACAGAGCCATAGGACATGTCATACAGAGATGATAAGGCTGGGCAGCAGGAGAGGCAGCGAGTTGTTAGTTCCTGGCTTTGCAAACCACAGAGTAAGTTCATACTAAATTCTGAAAGCAAGGATGCAGTAATGTACACTGTGAGGAAGTGGTACCATTCTTCACAGTTGCTATGACCCTACCAATAGCAGTACTATACAGGGGGGCTGGAATTCTTAGTTCAAATGTTAAAATTACTGCTATTGCATGGGCTAGCTAAATTGTGGTCTAGCTTGTTTGGAGAACAGTTTATGTCACATGCTAGCTGTGACCTCTGGGTAAGAAACAGATGGTCACTGCTGCTGTTCTGCATTCTTCCTCCTTCCCTGTCCTTTAGCCTAGAACAGCTGTATTACAGAAGTGAAATGAAATTTTTTATCTTTGCTAAAGAAACACCTGTGGGCTGGTAATTCTGTCATATATGTGTAGGCAAATACAACAGATATGACCTAGATAAGGTGTTTCTGTGATTCATGTAGAGCAAGGTATGGTCAGTTGAAAATCTAATTTCTGACTTCTTCTTCTTTTTTAATCACCATCCAGTATTGAAGATACTGTAATCAAAGTTGCTTCAAATTTTAATTTAACAGGTGCTGCTGTGGCCATCTTATTAATCAACATATTCCACCTCCTCCAAGCATAACAGCTAATAAAAATGGAGAAGAAACAAAGCAAGTGGAAGCTCAGCCAGAGAAATGGTCCGTCAGTAAACACACCCAAACATACCCAACTGATGCCTATGGAAACCTTGAATTCCAGGGAGGTGGACATTCAAATAAGGCTATGGTAAGGAACATAAGCTGCTCTGAGGCATTCATCTGGTATGTTAACTTAATAGAGATGTGTCAGGATTCTATCTCTCTCAGTGCATAATCCATTGAAATCAAAGGGGGTCTCTTTGCTGTCTCAGAAGAGTGTGCACAAGATGCTCAGAAAAAGAAAAGAGAAAGATGATACCTACTTAGGAAGCATCTTGTAGTGTCTTGATGAAAGAGTTTCATTGAAGCTACTGTCAGTAAATATCAGCTAAGGAGGCAGCTGCATGTATTAATGCCCAAGATTCCATCTGTTTGTGTTAGATTTGTGGGCCAAATAACCAGCATGATACAGATTTTTTGGTAAGATTTGAATTCTAATAAAAATAGATTTTAATCTTGCTTCCTGAAAGATAGAGGCCTGACAGAGCTGAAGAGTGGACTGTTGGGTTTTCTAAGCAGTGGAAATAACAGCAAGTCAAGCTTCTGCACAAAATCTCTTTCTGTTTTGCCTCTCTTCTGAACAAATCCAAACCTAGATTTGTTTCTTTGCCCGTATGCTTTCTTATCTCTCTGCTAAGGCTGCCATTTGAGATGACCACACTGCAAAAACCTGCCCAAAATGTATGAGAGGGATTGGTGGGTTGTGTTAGTGATGGTCTGTTTGTTTTTAAAGCAGGAATAAACAGGAGTCTGTTTCATAGTTTCCTTTGCTAGAATACTAGTTTGAAAAGAAATCACAGTGGTGGAACTAAACTGAGAAGAATGCAAATTTTGCTTCAGAGGACAAAATACGTACACCAGCAGTGAAATTTAATAATGTGTTGCTTAAAAATTGTAAAACACTTTCTTCAAGATGAAAGGCTTAATATAACCATTCTTTGCTCAGTCAATAGACAATTTACAGAGCAGGTGGAGTGAAAATGTTACACATTGCTCTTTGCAGTATATCCGTGTGTCATATGACACTAAACCAGATTCTCTGCTGCATCTCATGGTGAAAGACTGGCAACTGGAACTGCCCAAACTCTTAATCTCTGTCCATGGAGGCCTCCAGAACTTTGAAATGCAGCCTAAATTAAAGCAAGTATTTGGAAAAGGTCTGATAAAGGCTGCTATGACCACAGGGGCTTGGATTTTCACTGGAGGTGTCAGTACAGGTAAGCAATTACCAGCATTTTTAGTTTACTTAGGAATTCAGTGATGTTCATTCACCGATCTTTCCCACAGGCAGAAGATTTAAGTCTACATGAATGAGTCATTGCCCACTAGACCAAAAAAAGAGCACTGCAATCATTTCTGTTAACCTCCTACCCAGCCCAGAACATAAGATTTTGATGGGTCAATATCAATTTGCATTACTTAGTGTTTCCCCCCGAAAAAACTTTTCATCCTTAGTTTCAGTAGCAAGTCATCTACCACTAGTTATAACACATTTCTTTCAGTGGTTGGTTATCCTTGTACTTAAGAATGCCCTACTCCAGATTTGCCTAGCTTTAGCTTCTACTTTTGTGTGTGTGTTTGTACAAAGACCTTTCTATTAGTAGAAGTATATTTCTTGAGCATGTTTTCATGTACAGCACTTTTGTCAAGCTGCGCAAGCTGAATTCCATAAAACTCTCACACTAAGCATGTTTTCTAGTTTTTCAGTCATTATCACACCTCTGCTTGGAAGTCTCTCTAGCTTTTTAACAGCCTTCTTGAATTTTGGATACTGTAATTTTTGAGACAGTGCTTGATGGTGCCTTTAATCCCTGAAGTAAAACATCCTTTCTGTTTCCATTTGACACTTCCATGTTCATGCAGCCAAGGACATTTAGGCTGCATGATCTCTCTGAGTGTTAGTGATCAACTGATAGATAATCCACCTGAAATGGCATGTCCCTGAATCACTGACCACCACACATGTGCACACTCTGTCTTACAATTATATAAGGTATTTGTTCTTAAATGTGTGGCTGTAAATTAGCAGTCTTGAAACACAAACCTGAAGTTAGTTGTAAATGCGTCAACTTGAAGACATTGCAGTCTCCTGTTTGCATTTTCCTCTGGTCCTCTGGCCACCTGAAACAGTTTTATGTTTCTGGTTTCCTTTTAGACTGTATCTAAAACATCAGTTGTACAGCAAATCCACGTAACTCCACCAGGAGGTTTTTTGCACTGTTCTGGATTCTGTCCAAAAACCACAGCATTTGATATGATATCCAAAATTTGAAAAATGATGAAAAATAGCTGGTTTGATGATTCCCTCTATATTGTTATATTTTGAGACCAGTTGGTTTCTAATTCATGTAATTTGTGTTAGTATAAATTCTGAGTGATCTTCAAAAACAGATCAGATGCAAACTTTCATTATAATATTTCTATAACAGTATCTTTATTTAGCTGAAATAAATCCTTATATCAAGTTATTTCTTAGAAAACTATGTAAGATAATGAATCCCTTTGACTTAGTTTTAACAACAAGGTCTAATGTCTCTAAGGGAAGGCGATTGCTATTCAGAATAATATTTAAGTGAAAAAATACTTCTTGGGTAACTGTAAGGTTGCTTTTTTTTTTGCTTGCTCGGACCCCAGTGATAGCACTCCATACGTGTTTAGCATGGTGTACAATGAATAATATAATTCCAGACAATGGTACAGATTACACTGTGGCAGGTTAAGTGACTGGGTAAGTCTTTCAAAGACTTCATTGGATTCAGAACAAGGATGTGAAAAGGCAATAGGATTTACACGCAGCTATTAAAAATAAAAGCACGGGGTTTTCTGCAGTGCATGTTCTGTTATGAAATAGAGATACCAGTTTATTAGTGAAAGCAATACAGAAACGCAGGTGGCTCCATAAGAGGCAAAAAGAAAATTCTGTTGTTTAATGATCTCTCAAAAGTGCCAAGAGTGAATTAAATTAATTGTACCTGTAGGTGTCATTCGTCATGTGGGAGATGCCTTGAAAGATCATTCTTCCAAATCCAGAGGACGAATATGTGCCATAGGAATTGCACCATGGGGCATTGTAGAAAACAAGGAAGATCTGATAGGAAAAGATGTAAGTGTTTAAGGAACCTCCTGTGTAATTAGCAATGTCAGCTGTGTTACAAAATACACTGTTCATGTTTTTGGAGTGTTAGTATTTTCACTGTTTCTAAAGCGTGCCTAAGAGCTGAAATTGCACAATATCTTGATGAAAAGCTGCTGTTTAATTTGTCAGGTTGTCATATATGACCTCAAAGTAAATGTAGACCTAGTGAGGTTTTCATTACTTTCAATAGCAGAGACCTTTCTGTGGTGACAGTTTCAGGTCCTAACTTCAGTGTGGCATGCTAAAAATTCTATAAATCACGTAAGGGCCTTTATATGTACAAGACTGGCATTTTTTGTAGGCAGCTACTCTGGAGTGGCATAGTAATTACTAGGAACTCCAAATGAGAATGTATTTTCTAATGCAGTAAGAGGATTACGTAGCACTGTATGATCCAGGAGAGTCCATTAATGAGTTTAGGGGAACATGCAGGAGAGTGCACAGATGTGACTGTCACCTTCCAAAGAAAACACTGCTGTGAAGGGTTCAAGTTTTGAATGTTAATGCAGGCTCCATTTCTAACTCTCCTCTAATTTTGGCTATAAAGGCCTAGTGGATTTGTTTCCTCATAAGGCATGTTGGGGGCTGTGGGGGATTTTCACATTCAGTTCTTAGTGCTAATCTAGGTTCATCTGTCCTTTTGACACACAGGTAACACGGGTTTACCAAACAATGTCAAACCCTCTAAGTAAGCTCTCTGTGCTCAACAGTTCCCATACCCACTTCATTCTGGCAGACAATGGTACGCTAGGTAAATATGGAGCTGAAGTAAAGTTACGACGTCAGTTGGAAAAACACATTTCCCTCCAGAAAATTAACACACGTAAGTACAGTGGGGCAAACTGTAATCATAACATCTTAAAGGAAGGGAGGGAAGAAGGGCTTGAAATACTTCAAGGTAATGAAATTAAATGTTTCTTCCAGCTCTTTCTAGCAGGAATTTGATCAGGACTGTATGACTAAGCTACAACATATGCTGTCTGATAAGTGGTGAAAGAGCCCACGTCTAACTGCACAGAAAACCCAGAAAAGTGAGGATTGCATAAAGGGAGGAAAAAAAGTTGACAAATAATAGTGAGAAGAAGCTTCAAAGCAGTAAGAATTTAAGGAAAGGGAAGTGTAAAGAATTTTTGGGTTCTAGATAGAATTCATAAGCATCGATAAATACACAGAATGTGGTGATTTTGTATAGTTCTTGTTTACAGGAATCTTGTGCAGCTCAGTTGTTTCTGATTCCAAATGTTCATATTAATATTTTACTTTCTATTTCATATGAATTTGTTTCATTTGAAATATCACACTCAAAATTCTTTGATCTTACAGATAGATTCAACTGGGATTTTGATTTTTAATGAAGCCATTATCAAGATCATTTCACATCAGTGCTTTCATATTTCATTTTTTGCAGGTTTAAAATTTCTCCTACTTGTCGCAGCCTCTTTAAAACAACTTTCTAGAATGCTTTTTGTCATTACTTAGAAAAAAGTCTTCTAAAAGACATCTTTCTATTAACATTTTTGTGGGGAAAAAAATTAAATATTAAATAAATAAAAAAGTTGTAGTAGCTGTGGTTTTCCAGTAACTTTAAAAAAAACTAGTACAACAATCTAATTAAATATGGTCCAGAAAAGTGAATAGTCTTTGAATCCATACCTCAATTAAGAGCTACTGGAGAATAGACATCTGTTCTACCAGTTGCCTTTCTGACTTCTTACAGATGCTGTTGTAACCTATGTAGGCCCTTATAAATAAGAAAAAACCCAAATAGAACATTCAGAATGACAATTGCATTGAAATCTACAAAAGTGTCTAATACAGTTTAAGGGCTTTTCTGGGTAGAGCAGAAATATGAAGTAGAGTGCCAGGTAAAGCCAAAAGGCACAGTTGGAGATCAGCCACAAGATGTTTAAACGTTCTGGAAAGTCTTTAAGTACTGCTTTTGCCTCTGGTAAGCTTAAGAAACTGAACTCCCCAAAATTATTCCCGTTGCCTTCAAGTGTGGAGGCAGTGTCATGCACTGTTCCCACAGGCACTGGAAATGTGAGCAATGTGAGCTATGCTTTGTCTCCTGCAGAAGTGCGGGGAGAGTTGTCACCCTGTAGAAGGGAACACTGGCTTGGAAGATAAGGAAGTTAGGGCCCAGAGGCTAGATGTTCTGTATCATTTCTTTCTCAATACCACTGGGGCTGGGGATATTGGTTCTGATTTAAGTAGTGTTTGGTGGTTTTTGTCATGAGAAGGGCAAAGTTGGGAATACACATAGGAATTAAGAATTCTGTGAAGGGCTGCAGTACACCTACCAGTAACAACATACAGGGAGTTGTTTTGTTTCTTTTTAATCGCTTTAAGCACAGGCACGTCTTCTGGGAATCTCAGCATTCATGGATGCAGAGGCCGGCCCACGCTCTGTGACGCCTCCTTATCAGAGCTGGGGTATACTGACAGGAGGATGTCAGGAAGGTTCTGCTGTTATTGTGCATGATGTTCCTGTTCTTCAGAGAGGAATGAAGGTTGAAAATACAAACCTTTTCACGTGTTCTCAACCATACAAAAAAGTGCATCTTCTTTATAAAGCACTGGTCGTTTTACAGATTAAGAACTGAATTCAAATGCTTGAAACAAGGGGGGTTAGTCAGCCTTCAGGTAATGTTTTGTCCTTCATTTCCCCAAGTATCTTGTGACCAAAGCTACTGAGACCATGTGACCTGTGGGCTTCCCTTTGTCATCCTATGCCTGGAGATCACAGTGAGGCAGGGACAGCAAAGGGATGCTCAGCTGTCGTCTCTTCCATCGGCCAGCTATTTCAGCCTCGTGCTAAAGACACTAATTTTATGGTTTTTATCTTAGGAGAAAGCATAGGTATATGTCACCTTACTGAAGACTTCCTGTAGGTAACCAATGAAGAGTTAAAGCATCAAAGACACGGTAGCTGAGAGCCATCCAAGTAACAGTGAAGCTAATGAAGTAGTAGGAGAATCATGTTAGTGGTTTTATCTGTACATGGTGTCTGATGAAAGAGGTTACAAACAGTTTGCCAACAGCAAGTGAATAAATGATCAGTATGGAGCTGATGCAAAAGCAAGGGCAGAGAGACATCTTATTCTCTTCCTTATGGAGCTATGAAATGGCATATGGGCATTTTTCCTGGTGTTGGCCATGAAACAGCCATCATTTTTCCCGACTGCTCTGGTTTGAAGTGATGCTGTAACACAGAAATCATATCCACTCATAATATCTCAACCTCTTAAACTTAATTTCAATGACACTTCTTTATTTTTTGTTTCTGTTCTTCTGTTTTTTTGCAGGGCTGGGACAAGGTGTTCCTGTAGTTGGGCTCATAGTGGAAGGGGGTCCCAACGTGATCTCCATTGTCTTAGAGTGTCTACGCGAAGAACCCCCTCTCCCTGTCGTGATATGTGATGGTAGTGGACGAGCATCGGATATTCTGTCATTTGCACACAAGTATTCAGAAGAAGGAGGGTAAGATTTTTAGATCTTCACCAAAGTTGTGTGTTGCTCAGGAGGACATTGTAGGACTATATGCCTTGCTTTCATTAAAGCTTCATAAAGAACCACCTCAGGGACAAAATGCTGCTAATAGGCATTGTGCTGTCAGTCAACTTTTCCTGCCTGCTTGATCTTAGCCCTGGCGTTAATAAGCAGAAATTGTTCCCACTTGGAATGATTTGATGGTCTGTTGAAATAAACTTGCTCTCAGTGTAGCACACTGTCACAGAAGCTCCACCAATGTTTGCTGCACCATACATGGTGCTGGGTTCCTAGAAGCGAGGAACAAGCGGTTCCCAAGAATTACTCTTTCTCTCAGGCCAAGGCTGAGTTAATTACTGCATGTATTAGCAAAATTTGTGCTGCCTTATTCTAGTGTGTTGTGTGAATGAGCTTCATTCTCCAAGAGTGCCAGGCCAGTTGAAAAAATGTTGGGCTTCCTTCCATCCTTCTGCTATTTCTTAAATCTACGATGGTTCTTCAAGGCAGTGCTGCCTGATGTCATGAACTGAGTGGAGGACATTGTCTGGAGCATTCTGCTCCACAACCCTCCTGTCCATTGCCCAAATGATTCTGTAAAATTCACTCCTAATCCAGAGTTTTCTGTTATTTTTATGGTTGGCTGCCTGACCCTTTGGTTGACAGAAAATATGGTTTGTTTAAAAAAGACACAAAACCTATAGTAGTAGCATAAAGCTCATCTGCTCTGATAAATACTCCAAGTGGAAGCAGAATATTGCATTTTTAATTTAAAATATTACTTGACTTCTCCCAGTTGAGGAACATGCTTTCCCCATTGTCATATTCAATATGAGGATTTTATCTTTAGTAGCCAGATTCAGGCAACAACCTAGTATGTTGTTTTCAGTAGGGTTTGCCACACCCATCTTGCACAGAAGAAATAGCCTATTTCCTTGACTGAAGTTGGAGCTTAGATTAGATCGAATATTAAGCAGACAACTAGTATTGTCAAGGAGTGCAGATGTTATTTGCTGAACTGGGAGAGCTGCTCTGTTGCTGGATTTTTTTGATGTTGACACACAGTACATATTTAATCCTACCAACACTATTTATGATTCAGCAACTTGCTTTTCCTTCCTGTCAATCAAGCCTCCTCATCTTAGGTTAAACTTTCCTTTTTTTTTTTTTTTTCTTTCTCATTCATCCTTACTGTCAGCTCATAGTAACTGAAAGAGCTTATCAGGATCAGTCTGAGAGCTGCTCACTCCATGACTTTCGCTCCCAGTGCATATGATGCACTGTCCAATTTTCTTCTCCGGCAATTAAGATGAAATAAACGTGTTTATCTGGTAAGGCAGGTCTGTAGTGAGAAATTTCTGTCAGCCGTGCTGTCTAAAAGAATCATTTTCTCACAGTGAACTTTGAATTGTACTGCACTTTGCAAGCTCAGCTGTCTCCCTACTTCAAATGCCTGCTGGTAGTGTTTGCCATCATCTGAAAACACAGGGGTTTTATTAGGAAATGAATGAAGTTTGAAGGGTTCTGTTTCAGAGTGCTCTGGGACATCAAACATTTCTGACCTTTCTGGAATGTTTTCGATCTAATTCCTTTAATCATCTTTTGGTTGGCTTGTTTCTCAGTTGGGTATTATGAGGTTTCAGATATGCTAGCAATTTAAATCACTGCTTAAGAGGATAACCAAGGTGACATGTCAGTAGTGTGAAAAAATTGTGGGTTTTTTAGCGATACAGGGCCTTGCAGCATTTAGAGGCAAAGGTAGGGGTCCTGTAAGGTGTACTGCTGAAATCCTGGAGGCTGAACTTCCAAACAAAAGTATATTTATAACAGGAGTGAGCGCTACCTGCATTATATTCCAGGGTGAAAAGATAGTTCAGGATCCCTGCCAGTTGTTAAATCAGTGCTGAGGTACTGAGGTGTGTAAAAGCCAGTCCAGGTATGAATTCCGGATTACTGTTAACTCTTCATGAACTCCTTACCTGTGTATTTTCATTTATTTTCAGTTGTTGCACTGGTGGATGAAAAGTTGTTTCTCAAACAGCAAGCCTTACGAACATATATTAATTCTGGCAATGTCTTCTTCTGTGTCTCATTTTTCATTTAGGATCATAAGTGAATCCCTAAGGGACCAGCTTCTAGTTACCATCCAGAAAACCTTTAACTACAGCAGAAATCAAGCTCATCAGCTGTTCCTCATTCTTATGGAGTGCATGAAAAAAAAAGAACTTGTAAGTTTCCTAAAAGTAGTTCACAAAGATAATTTCAGGGACAAAATTTATTTGGTCGAGTTAGTAAGACTGTCTTACTGAATTTCATAAATATGACTGCTTCCTTGAGTCCTGATAAAATTCCATTTCATTCCTTCATACAAATCCTAAGCAGCTGTTTTAATAGTAGATGAACAGACTGATGGATATTTTTGTGTTTTAATTACAGCTGGAACCGGTATAGTGATATTTTTACCTTTTTTGCTAAAGTTGCCTATTTCCATTAGGTAGAAACAAGAGAATGATCACAGCCTTCTCTGACTGCATGTAGGAAATCGGATAACCAAACTGCTATTGAACTTAAGCATGAAATGTGCGGTGGGTTCATTCTTTAGCATGCCTAATTGCATCACTAAGGAAGCAACACCTGTAATGGGAGCAGCTAGGAAGAAGCTGTTGAATGACATGAAACTTTTCTCATGAAGCAGAAAAAAGAAGGATTTTTTTCTAAGTTCTTAGAAAAAGGGTGTTTCATGCTCCCTTAAAACTAAGTGTCTTTTCCTTCCACAGAGCCCATGCTTTCTGTCTTTGGTCACAGCTAGGAGACAGACTTTATTAACTCCGGTCTTCCCAGGTTTAATCCTGTCTCCAATAGATGATGTGAAAGTTTTTTCTTAAGATTTTAAATAAACATTACACTGAATGCAGCATTCCTTTCAGTGGGGAGTGTTCTTTTGACTTCTAGAAGTAATTGTTTAGTTGTTTGATGGAAGGGGGGGGGAAGTGTTCTCTGGGGTATTTTCTTGTTACTTGCCGTGGCAATAGTAGCTGCCCGTGTTTGTATTTCCAGTCTCGGATTTGGAGCAATGAAAAATAATACAATGTAAATTTTAGTAGTTTAAGCCTAAATCCTGACGTATTTATTGTCATGATCAATGGGAATCTCTATCAAGCAATTGCCAGGTTGTTTGCAGACTTTCTAACAGTTTCATATTGTCCACAATCTCCAAAAAGCTGGCCTGTTTCCAGAGATTATGCTGGGCATTGGCTTATGCCTCTGACTTGCCAAAGAAGTGTTTATTTACATATCTATACATTTCAAGATACCAACTAAATACTTAAATGCCAACAAGTAGTTTCCCACCTCCTTTATAGTATCATAGAATTCTCTTCTCCTAATTGTGTGTCCCTTCTTCCTCCATTCTCTCCAATGATTTTTTTTCTCCAAGGAATTCCCTTTAGAGTGGGAGGGATTTCTGTAAGAAAAGAAGGTCCATTTTAGTTTTATCCCTGTTCCTTGATTTTTGATCAGCTTTTGATACTACATAGTTCTTGGGTTCATAAAAGGCAGATTATGCAATTTTAAATTATTTTTAACAACGTATATTTAAATACCTTTGTCCAAACTATTCTCTAAGTATTAAACTAGCTTCCAATGCCACTTGGAACAGAATACGACAAATGCTGTGGTTTCTAGTCATGCAGCTCTGTACTGCAATCAGATAGACACGCATCTGTGATGTTTTTCTTTTGCATTCAGAAGTATCCCTAGCATGTTCAGTTGATTATACAAAACCTTGCTTAAAGGCTGCAAATGTGAGGTCTTTAGATTGTCTGGGTAGTGTAAATGTGCTGTTGATACATTCACGTTGGTATAGTGCCAAGATTAGTTCCCTGCATATGCCTTCATCAGAAGTCAAGTTGGTAATAAGCATGGCTGTGCTAAGCAGACTGTAAGAGAGCCAGCCTTCCTAGAAGAGTTGACTGAGAACAGAGAGCCCACAGCTGCCTTAGTCAAACTGCTTCAAATTCAAAATACGCATCAGAGCAGGCCTGATTTAGTCAGCAAATCCAGGCACTCACTGTGCATCTAAGCAGGCTTACAATTTGCATTTGTTGATAATTTTGTCTGCTTTCTTGTTCATTAATAAAATTTATCCTTTAGTTCTTCTCTCTTCTAATGTCATGTATCTTTGCATTCATACAAAATCTATTCTAACTATTGAGAAAATTGCTATTCCCAGTACTTAACACAGCTAGCATCTGCTGTGAAGGGTTGTTTTTGGAAAATGAAGAATTTATTATTTTTTGTCTCCATTCAGTATTGACTTAATTAACATAGAATATTAGGTTAATCTGCTTTTGAATTATTAATCTTGTTATATGTAGTTCAATAGCTAGGCTTTATATGAATTACTGTTTCTAAAATCAGTAAATTTTAATTGACTCAACTATGCAAATGTGACTAGAAATAATTGTATTTCTTTATTAGTTGATTCTGCTTCTTTGTCAATATGTTAGCATATCTCACAACTAAAAAATACTTGAGTGTTGTCAGTAAAATTAATGCTGTGATAGTTACCTCAGGTAACTAGTGTTTCCATTTGCAAGCTGGCATTTGCATTACTTCTGGAAAGAAGTTTGGCATTGCAGTTTTGTCATCACTTTTCAAAATTCATGGGTTTAATGAAGATTTTCATCAAATTTGTCACATTTACCAATGGAGGAATATTTTAGGATAACTTTATTGAAATAATTTAATTAAATGTTTTAGTGAAAATTATATTTCAAAGAAAAATTGAGTGGAACTGTATTTTTTGGAAAATCTCAAGTCTCAGAAAATACTGAAGCTTCACGATTCTGCTCCTTTTTTGTATCTGTATGTTTGGTCCCTCTCTTTTATGTGTTGAAATTTTGTATGTTTGATTTTGTTATCATTTAGATTACCGTGTTCCGCATGGGGTCTGAAGGGCAACAGGATATTGAGATGTCTATCTTAACTGCTCTCCTCAAAGGTGGGTTTTACAAGCACTAGGATGCACAAATTGATCCCTGGAAGACAGTCCTGTACACTGTCTGAAGTTCACTCTTGGTGTTTTAAGTCTTTGATTTGTTTGCTTGTATTCTAACAAGTAACCCAAACAATGCTTGTCTTGAGGTTCACGTTAGCCTGGAGCTTAAAATCTGTATTGAATCTTTCCTCACCTGACAGCCTGGGATGGGAATGCTGCAACAACTATACTGTTGATATTTTAACACATTTTATTGCCATTCTTGCATATATTAAAGAAGTCAGAAAAAATGAATGGAAGATTAAAAGACTACCTGGCTTTTTCCAGATCTCAGATCATGTTCTTTAAGCCTTAGAGTAAAATTTAGGATCAGTTCCATATTTATTTGGACTTTGTTATGTTTGCTGAAACAACTGCCTGCAGGAATATAATAGTTGATATGAGTGCAATATGGGATCACTGGAGTCCTCAAAGTTAGGAGATAAAGAGGGGAATCACTATACTCATATTACAGCATCAGCCAGGGGAGCTGAGAGGAGTCATCTTTTAGGGCAGTTAAACATCTGTCTTCAGCTTGAGAATATAAAGTCAATGGGGGCACTTTAAGAAAAAGAGGGAGAGAATCTGGTTACTCCTTTTGAAATTAGGGTTGTGGGGTTAAATGGAAGATGCTATAAATTTATTTGATGAATCTACTGCTTTGTGGTAGAATTATTCTAACGGTAACATGATGTGGAGTGAGGCTTGCTGTTTTCTGGTTCTTGGAGAAGTGAATTACAGAAGGTTGTCCAATCTCATTTCATCAGGCATGAAATACTAAACATCTGTGTGTTTCTCTTTAGGTACCAATGCATCTGCTCCAGACCAGCTCAGCTTGGCTTTGGCCTGGAACCGTGTAGACATTGCACGCAGCCAAATATTTGTCTTTGGACACCACTGGCCAGTAAGACAGTTTTCCTAGTCATATTGTTTATTAAGAATTAAAAATGGGTGGTGGAATATTTGCACCTTGGATTTTGTTGGCAGGTGAAAGAGTATTGAATTCTGCTTTATGCTGAACTGCTAGAATAACTCATTAATGTAGACTGACCTGTTTGCTTTGAAATTTCCTTATACTGCCATTTGCAAATATTTATCAATAATTTAAACTCCATGAAGGAAAGAAAAGCAAGCATAAAAATAACCTTATTTAAGATTCCTCATCATATTTGAAAGCAAAAAACACCCCCCACCACCACCAAACCAACCCATTTACCTGAAACAATACCTGCCTTACATACAGCTGGACAATAGCAATCCTGGTCAACCACAGTGAACTTGTGTGATGCACCAGCACATTGCCTAGACTTCTGACTGTCTCTGTCATTGACACGTGCTAGCATTTGGCAAGGTCCCCAGCTACCCATTAAAGTAAGCAGCAAGGAAATCAGAGAGCCACTTAGAAGGAATTGTGTTGCTCACTTCATTAACAGCTGTGAAAATCTCTATTTGGATTAGTGGAGCAAAATCCTGACAACCAAAAGAAGCCATTGCAGAAAACAGGCCTCTGGCAGGCAGAGTTGTGCCAAATGAGCTAAGAAGCAGATTTTCAGTATAGCTTTAGGTCCTGAAATTGGATTGTCTTTCTCAAATTATTGGAGTTTGATGTTGCACTAGTTGAAGTCAGTGGTGAAACACTGCAGTGCCTTTATTCACCTGTGTAACTAAAATCCTCTATGGAAGCTACTTTCTTGTCTCACTGTGTAGATGCTTTTTGCTTTACTGTGTGAACCATCTGATGCTGAATTACTATAACATGTCGTGAGGAAACCAGTCTAAAAGAGGCAGTTAAAAATGAAGTACAAGATTTTTTTAAATTTAAATTAGATTTCTTTCCTGAAACAATGCAGTAAGATGACACTCAAAGGAACACTGTTCATGTGCATGCTATACATAATGATAATAATTTGGAAGCCCATATAATTTGATGTAAACAAATGTTGCTGTATATGCTGTTTTATTCCTTCACTTATAGTAATGGGATGTTTCCATTATTCAAAGTTCATTAAAATGCTTATATAGAGAGGATTTAATAATCCTAAAGATTATGAAGTATTATTACTGTAAAATATTTATTTGGACAGAGTCTTCCAGTCTCCATATTACTGTGTTTAGAAACAAAGGTACCACCTAGCAACTAAAGCCAGGTACTGCTTTGGCCTATTTCATACTCATACTCCATTTGTGGGAACAGTATCGGCCAATTGTGATTCACTGTCATTTCAAATTCATAAAGATTGCTTTCAGACTCGCACGTTCTGCAAGTGGGCAGTTGCAGTTTTGTCCAGGTTTACAAGTAGATTCATAGCAGCTAGGCAGATACAATTTTTTTTTTTTTTCCCCCAGATGAACAAAACCACAGAAAACAAGCCTGGTTAAAGGCTTTGTTCTGTAGTTCTCTGTGCAGAGCACAGATAGTTGTCATCCGTTTTACATGTTGGTGGAGGTTACATAACCTAAGCATTAGGTTGAGCAAGTTAAGCCTCCAAATCACAGACAACTTGTGTCAAGTTATGTGCATGTGTGTCTGCTGGTTTTGGGTAGATAGGTTGGAAGGGGGAAGGATGTTGTAAAAAGCAAATATGTCTGAAAAGGTATATACAGAAATATGGTCTGCAGAATGTAAATGAACCAGTTAGTGGCTCTGTTTCCTCCCCTTTCTGCCTCTGCAGTATGGATGGCATCATGCAACTTTCTTGTTAAGCTCTTCCTGTCCATCTCCTTATCCTGCTTGTTGCTCTTTATTTTGACAACTGTTGCTTTCACTGAGAGCAAAGAAACTGAAGTGTCACAAAACTGAGTAGTGTCCCTTTGCAGTCCTCTCACACTGATTTTATTTTGCAAGAGAAAGCCTCCAGTCTACCTACTTCACTATTTCGACTTTCAGTGTTACTGACGAAATTAGACATAACAGCTTTAAAGAAGTGTTAAGCTGTGGCTATGCAGAAAGGTCCATATACTTAAGGAAATTAAAATTTTTGAGTTCACTGCATGTGAGAAGTGATAACTGGGGAACAAGTTCAGTAGGAGTGTTTTCAATGAATAGTCACTGTATGATCAATTAGATTTCTAACACCAGTAATGCATTATTAAATACAGCCTATAGGAAGCCTTACAGCTCCTGATGGTACCGCTCCTGAGAAGGAAAAGAAGTCTCCAGCAGCTCAGACTAAAGCAGCCAGAGGGAAAGGAAAGGGGAAGAAAAAGGGAGGAAAAGGAAAAGAAGAGCCAGAAGAAGAAACAGACCCAAGAAAGCTAGAACTCCTGAACTGGGTGAGATGAAAGTATTTGTATTAAAACTGTTGAAGAACTCTTTTTTTTTTTTTTTTTTTGCATCCTGGTGGACAAAGAAAGAAGGAAAATACACATTTTCATTCTACAGAATGCTCATTTGCACATTCTCACAAGATCAGCGGTAGATTCTGCAGGGATGCTGTTGAGTCTTTGAGCCAGGATTCTCTCATCCCATGAACACCACATGCAGCCATACCACAACAGTATAAGTCTGTGCTTATCTGCTGCATCTTCTTCCCTGCACTTGTTAGAAGGAAATAAGACCACCAGTGACCATCTTCATCCACCCTTGCACATGCTGTTTATCCAGTGAAGGCAGTTCCAACTTCTCCATTTCTAAGTGCTTCATTTTCTAGTTGCAGTAGGTTACATTGTTCTGTTGTCTCTATCAAAGTTCATGTGTCAAGGGATTGCTGCTCAAGGGGTTTTCCTCTCTCCTACTGGTCTCTAACCCCTTAGATCCTGTAAGAGAAGATCCATTAGGCTTCCTGACCAGCACTGTCCAAAGGCAAAGCAAAATTGGTGAAGGAAGAGGAAGTACTCCTTCCCAAATGATTTGAGTCTTTCAGAATTATATGTTGTGTTTTCTCTGTGAGGCAGCTGTTGAGTGGATGATACATATCATAGAATCACAGAATAGTTTGGGTTGGAAGGGACTGTAAAGACCATCTAGTTCCAACCCCCCTGCCATGGGCAGGGACACCTTCCACTAGACCAGGTTGCTCAAAGCCTCATCCAGCCTGGCCTTGAACACTTCCAGGGATGGAGCATCCACAGCTTCTCTGGGCAACCTGTGCCAGTGCCTCACCACCCTCCCTGTGAAGAATGTCTTCCTGACATCCAATCTAAATCTACCTTCTTTCAATTAAAACCTGTTAATCACATCATGCCCTTGTAAAAAGTCCCCCCCAGCATTCTTGGAGGTCCCCTTCAGGTATTGGAAGGTGCTATAAGGTCTCCCTGGAGCCTTCTCTTCTCCAGGCTGAACAAGCCCAATATGCAAGTTAGCAGGGTAAATTATGTCAACCATGGTATGCCTGGCTTAGTTAAAAATACTAAACAAAATCATTGAAAGCTACAGTTGTATTGCTAAAGGTTTCTTTCACTGCTATCCTCTCCCCCAAGACCTCATCAGAAGATTCTACCATCTCTGTTGACTTGCACATGGGTAAAATACCATTTTCTAAATTCCTTTTCACTTGCAGATTAAACAATATGTTTGGGAAATTGGGAATACCCTAAGTAATGAAAATGCTTATGGTTGTTGGCCAACCATCTCCTCTGTGCTCATGTAGTCTCATGTTCTCCATTCTGCAATTCAGGTGAATTCCCTGGAACAGGCTATGCTGGATGCACTGGTTCTGGACCGAGTGGACTTTGTGAAACTACTTATTGAGAATGGAGTGAACATGCAGCACTTCCTCACTATTCCTCGATTGGAAGAACTTTACAATACTGTGAGTGAGCAGAAATAATAAAATGCCCTGCGGTATCTTTGCTGCTGTATTTAACAGGGGTGTCCTTTTCCTTCTCCTTCTGAGAGATGCTTGCTTTTTCAAAAAGCTCTGAGCCCCGACGATACACAAAAGTTGGAGAGTGGTAAAGGGAGCCATTGCTGCTACATATAGTGTCCTATTTTTTCCCTATATATGCACATTCCTAATTAATAAGCCTACATCAGCTTTCAGAGGCTGTTGCAGTTTGTTAGGTAAATGTAGTGTTGTATTTAAAGTGCACATTCAGAATACTTGAGGAACTACTGTATATAGTAAACATTTAATACCAGGCAGTAGTGGTCATTTATTTTTAATCTCAGTTCCTTTTCATCTATGTATTACTTCAGTATTATTGAAATACGCCAGTAAATTTGGCAAAGTACTTGCACAACAAGTTTTATTGTCAGCACATTTCAGAAATCAGTGTCCTTTTAACTTGTGGCCCAGCAAAGCAAAAGGTTTTTCCTCACACCATAGAACATCACTTTTTAAAAATCAGTCTCTTCCCAACCCACAGCAAATTCATCAGGAACATAACTATTCTTTCTTCCCATCATTTAAGTGGCAGGTAGTCTAGGGCAGCATTCATACAACATATAAGCTTGGTCTCCTCCTCCAGACCCTTTATGGCTCATGCAGCAAGTACAGGTACAAACAGTACCACAACTGCTGTGACTTGAATCACCACATAAAGAATTATAAGAAAGGGATTACAGAGCTCCTGATAGAAATGTGTTTCTCATTGTAGCCCAGTTCCTTCTTTTCACCCCTGCAGAGTGTGATGGCACATCATTGCCTAAATTTCTGCTTACAGTGCCAGATCATTAATTACATTTGTGTTTGCAAAAAAATCTGAAGAATTGAAGCTCTAATGGACCATGAATTATTTTTGTTTCAGAGATTGGGTCCCCCAAATACGCTGCATTTGCTAGTCAGAGATGTGAAAAAGGTAAGCTTAGCTAACAGCAGCATTGTATTTCCATGATTACGTTAAACATGTGAGTACACAGTAAAAGCAAACGTAGCATGGGGGAAAGCAGACGTATGAAATTAGATGGTAGCTCTTATGAAAAGGAAAGTTAAATTACTTCTTGTGCCAAAGAGTGGTGTCAGTCTAAATCAGGAATGGCTATACTGCAGTGCTAGTAATTAAACAACTAGTGTAATATATCCTTTGAGATTTAGGTTGATACTGTTTCTTCTCCACAAGGAGCTCCCAACACACAAAGGTGGAGTGGAAGGAAGGGCCTGCTAGGTTAACTGGAAGCCCCAGTCATGAGCACAGAATTTGTTCCTTTTTGTTTGTTTCCTTGTGTGCTTTTTTGGTTACTTTTCTCCCAAGCAATCCTACCTGGGAGAAAATCTGTTCTGTTTCTCGGTGCTATACATCCTAAATTTGTTATTGTTTCCCTTACATGTAAATTCATTCATTATATGTGAATGGGGTCATTGTAAGATTTGTTGTTGTACTTGCTCTTTGAGGTTTTGGAGGTTTTATTCAAAAAAATGTAGCTACATGAAATAGCCAGTATTCCTTTTTGCAAGAAAAAGGGAGGTTTGTATGTGGGAATTACACAGTACTGTGTCAATGTATAGTTCATGTTGATCTGCTTCAAATTTTAACACTTCTCATTCCGTGTTTGTCTTTTTGAGTGTTACTAATGCTCTTCTGTGTTCTGCTTTCTGTCTGTCTGTCCTCTTTTTCATTGCATTTTCATGGCTCACCTGTTCAGCGTCAGTCTCGGGGATTCGGTTGGGTTAACATGGAGGTGGTGTGTTTGCATAGAACATAGTTGCTTTGCAATAGCAACTGCTCAGTGGTGCTCTAGAATCAGTTATAGCTGTAGGATGTAGCTTGAACAATGAGGCACAGTTTTCAGCTCATGGTTCTAGCAGCATCAATACCATTATCCAGTTTTTGAATGTAACAGTGGAAATTATAGTCTGCCTTTTTCTTTGGTTCTGAGCTGCACATTAATCTAAATCATGTTCTGCATCATAGTCTTAACTCTGTAAACAATATTATGATCAAGTATAAGTTTCCATAAAATGTAAAATAAGCCTGATATTCACCCTGAAATTAGGTCATGCTGTGGTAGTTGTACAAGATTAATGATAATCGGTACAAAGTTATACAATTTCATCAATATAACCCTTGCAAACAACTTGGGCTTGTATCGACACTGACATATTGTATGAGTACATCAAATGAAAATTTGTCCTCAACTACAAATACTGTCAACAACAAAATAAAAAAAAAATCTGGGCCCAAAAAATGTTTTTTATGTGAATCAGTTATCATTAATTTTGTGCAAATACCCAGAGACTGAAACCAGTGTCTGTATGTAATCTGTGTGCCAGTTTAAACATGACATGATATGTCTAGCCAGGCAATTTAATATAGATTATCTTTTATTATCCTATGTCCTTATTTTCTTTTTTGCTTGTTTTCGTTTTTTTTTTTTTTAAATTTTATTTTTTGGTAGGGAAATCTTCCACCGGATTACCATATCAGCCTAATAGATATTGGTCTTGTACTTGAATATCTCATGGGTGGAGCTTATCGCTGCAACTATACTCGAAAAAGTTTTCGGACTCTTTATAATAATTTATTTGGACCAAAGAGGGTAAGAATGAGTTCATTCTGGATGTGGCCATCGTGCTGGTGGTAAAAAAAATAAGTAATACTCTGTTCCTTTGTCTTTTTGTGAAACTTTACATGTTAAATTCTAAAGAAATGTTGCAAGACTGAAGTTGAAACTCTGGTAGTGAAGTTATATAAGGAACCTGTAAAACATCTACGTTAAAAAATGGGAGGACCCAAAAGGTGGCAAATACATTAATCTGGAGGTGAATTTCCTCCTATTTCAGTAGTTTACAATCCAAGCATTTCTAACTGTGGTGTTTGCGTATTTACTTATTCCTACTTGAGCTGTAGCTTGACCTTTTAGCACTCTTAAACTGTAAATCGTATTGGTCAAGACAGGCCTATTGATCAAGTAGTTATAACCAACAGTAGCCTTAACTTGGGTAAGGCAGAGAGTTTAGTCTGCATACAGGAAAGCTATGAACCTGTTACAGTAAGTTCTGTAAAGAACTGCTGTAAGCATAAATCTTATCCTGTGGAAGGCACTGCAATCTCAGTAAAGCATTTCATAGTCATGTGCCAATCTGCAGAATATCAAGCATGGCCCTTGCTTTGTTAAAATGTCTGTTCTAAACAAATGATATGATTTTCTTCATTAGCTTGCTTATTTGTTTGGTCTAGGTTTGAAGGTCAAGGGAGGCATCCTAGCATAATTACAGAAAGCCACACACTAGGAAACTAGCCCCACAAATGGCCAGAAGGCCACTCAAAGCCCAAGCATTCTGTAGCCACTATATAGTGTAATACTGTCTGAAGGAACAGACAAATAAGCCTTTTGGTTAAAATGCAAAACAGAGATTTCACAATGGAACTGAGGGATTTTTTAAATGGGAAACTGTGAGGGGGTTGAAGATCTAGTATATTTTTTACTGTTTCCTATGATTATCTTTACCCAGTGAGTGCTTAGAAGCACCGTATTTTTTTGAGCTCTTATGACCATGTGATGATTTTAACTTTCAAGGCAGGATATTATTGAATGATTCATTTAACTCTTTCATCTGAATCAAAATACTTCACCTGAGTGCAGGGTGGAAAATATTTTCTAACCCATTACCTTCCTGCAAATACAATTAAGAGGGAGATTAATTAATTGTACAATTATTTAGAATATTAAGTTTAATTAAAAAATACTGTACATTTGTAAATGAAAATGTGGTTTTCCTTGGTATTGTTTGGTCTTTGAACTTTCCCTCCTATCTAACTGATTTTCTTTTCTATTTTTAATATTCAGCCAAAAGCTCTTAAACTACTAGGGATGGAGGTAAGTTGGATCTATTGTAAAAAACTGGTTTTATCAGAGCATTTCTTGGTACAGTTCTACTCTTGCTCTTAGAGTAGAGCTCTTTTTACTATTACTATGGCTTAAAGTAAATTTGAACTAGAGTGATCTTCTGTTTTGCAAACAGCCTATGAAATACTTCTGATATTTTTTATGAGAGGTTTTTGAGAGCTGCTTAAAGCTTTGCTCAATAGTCTTCAGGCAGCTTTTAGCACTATTATGTAATAACACATTCCCTGTTGGACCATATTGTAGATATAATCATTCAGGTGATACTGAAAAGATAATGTGATCTAGCAGTGCTACTCATAATCAAATCCCTTTCAATCATGAAGTAACAATTTATGAGCAAGTGAGATTTTATCATAGATAAAACTTGTAATTGGAGTGAAAAAACAAGGTGGTCTGACACATTAGATGCTGTCCTCCACTATAAAACATCCTTGTTACTCTGATGGCACCATGCTTTGTAAATGATGAAGCTGATCCAGAACTTTGGGTCCAACCCCTGCCTCAATTACTTGTGTGTCTGCAGAAATCTTGATCAGAATCAAGTCTGCGATGATGCCTAAAAACTCACACTGTTTTGGAGATAGTTGCTTTTGTTTCTGAAACAAGTATTAATATGGACCAGGAAAACATTTACACAAAGAGACTGGGTACATTCCTCTATGTAATCCTCTGTGTATTCTTCTCCAAGTGATAGAGGAGCCGTGAGGAGAGGTGCCATGCTGGACCTTGTTCTCACCAACAGGGAGGGGCTGGTGGGGAATGTGAAGCTCAAGGGCAGCCTTGGCTGCAGTGACCATGAAACAGTGGAGTTTGAGATCCTCAAGGAGGTGAGGAGGGTGCGCAACAAGCTCGCTACCCTGGACTTCAGGAGAGCGGACTTTGGCCTCTTCAGGGAACTGATGCCGGAGTTGCATGGGATGAAGCCCTGGAGGGAAGAGGGGCCCAAGAAAGCTGGCCAGTATTCAAGGACCTTCTCCTCCAAGCTCAGGAGCAATGCATCCCAACGAAGAGGAAGTCAGGTAAAAGCACCAGGAGGCCTGTGTGGATGAACAAGCAGCCCGTGGACAAACTGAGGCGCAAAAAGGAAGCCTACAGAGGGTGGCCGGAGTTGCATGGGATGAAGCCCTGGAGGGAAGAGGGGCCCAAGAAAGCTGGCCAGTATTCAAGGACCTTCTCCTCCAAGCTCAGGAGCAATGCATCCCAACGAAGAGGAAGTCAGGTAAAAGCACCAGGAGGCCTGTGTGGATGAACAAGCAGCCCGTGGACAAACTGAGGCGCAAAAAGGAAGCCTACAGAGGGTGGGAGCAGGGACAGGTAGCCTGGGAGGATTACAGGGAAGTTGTCTGACAAGTCACAGATCACGTTAGGAAACCCAAAGCCCTGACAGAATTAAACCTGGCCAGGGACAGCAAGGCAAACAAGAAGAGCTTCTGTAGGTACATTGGTGATAAATAGAAGATCGGGAAAATGTGGGCCCTCTGCAGAAGGAAATGAGAGAGCTGGTCTCCTAGGATATGGAGAAGGTCGAGGTGCTCAATGATTTTTTTGTCTTGGTCTTCACTGTCAAGGGCGCAAGCCGTACCCTCTGAGTCGCAGAAGGCAAGGGCGGGGACTGGGTGAATGGAGAGCCACCCGTGGTTAGAGAGGATTAGGTTCAGGAGCACCTAAGGAACCTGAAGGTGCACAATTCCATGGGACCTGATGGAATACATCCGCGGGACCTAGAAGAACTGGCAGATAAGGCTGCAAAAACTCTATCCATTC